AAAACTCAAGAGAAGACATACAAAGATGCAGAAAAAGAGAAGTACAATAAATACATTTAATAACAGCTTTATTAAAATGAGAAAGCACACACAAGGAAGAGAAAGACCATGGGTGTTCAGATATTAAAGCAATAAAACATTAATCAACAAGGAAAAAGAATGAAGTGTTAACACTCAGTCAACATGGATATATAAACTAATAACATGTGTCACCAAAGCAGCCAGACATGAGAGCGACATATAATTCCACTACATGAAACTTCCAAGAGAGACAACAATAAACTCTAATGGAAAAATCCTAACAATTATAGAGGTAAATGAATGGGAAAAATTACAAAGCAACCTTCTGGAATAATGAAAATGTTATCTCTTGATGAGTTTTGAATTATATGTGTGGAGCTATCTGAACTCTGAACTAGAGAGAGAAGCTTTCCCATTTAAATCTTTCCTCAATTAAAAACAAAATGCATCTTCACTCAAAAACCTGGGTTGCCTCCTATAGCCCAGGTTTTTAGAACACAAAATTTGGGACTGGAAAGATGGCTCAGGGATTAAGAATGCGTGCTGATCTTGCCAAGAAGCAGAGCTCAGTTCTCAGCACTCTGCTTACTGTAACTGCCTGTAACTCCAGCTCCAGGGAAGCCTCCACATACAGAAACACACATATACCCTTACATAGTGGCGCACACCTTAATTCCAGCATCCGGGAGGCAGAGGCAGGCGGATTTCTGTGAGTTGAGGCCTGCCTGGTCTATAGAGTGAGTTCCAGGAGAGCCAGAGTTACAAAAGAGAAAGACCCTGTTTTGAAAAAAGAAAGACACATATACATAATCAAAAATAGTGAAAAAATGTTTTTGTTGTTGTTGTTGGTTTTTTTTTTTTTTTTTTTTTTTTTGGTTTTTTTGAGACAGGGTTTCTCTGTATAGCTTTGCGCCTTTCCTGGAACTCACTTGGTAGCCCAGGCTGGCCTCGAACTCACAGAGATCCGCCGGCCTCTGCCTCCCGAGTGCTGGGATTAAAGGCGTGCGCCACCACCGCCCGGCGAAAAAATGTTTTTTAAATTCATAAAATTTAAAGGCAAGACCTAGAAAATAAGCCTTAAGGAGAGTAACAATAATCTTACAAGCAAAGAAATACAAAGTAAGTTGGCCATAATAAAAATCATACAAAGAAAGCTTTCAAAAGCTAAGATGTCAACAAGAATATTGCAGGCATAAATATACCATGTACAAAAGAAACGAGATGTCATAGTGGACCTGGTGAACTAATGTACTCGAGTTCCTAAGAATGAAATATGGGTCAGGCGGTGGTGCACGCCTTTAATCCCAGCACTTGGGAGGCAGAGCCAGGCAGATCCCTGTGAGTTTAAGGCCAGCCTGGTCTACAAAGTGAGATCCAGGACAGGCTCCAAAACAACACAGAGAAGCCCTGTCTCAAAAAAACAAAAGAAGAAGAAAAAAAAAAGAATAAAATATGGGGGATGCAGGAAGCAGGAAGCACCTTTGAAAGAAGTGCATGTTAGCTGTCTGGCAATGAGGAGCCAATGAAGTCATTTTACTAGGGGGTAAGAAGTTGTATGTCATCTGGAAAGATCACTACCGAAACTAAAACACAGTGGAGGTTCAGGCTATAGCCTGTCCAATAAAAGTTATTGTACTCTACTGACTACTGGATACAACCAACAGTATAATGTATGTACTTCTCAAATACCTCAAGGCAGACCACAATCTGCCCATAAGACACCTTAACACAGTAATCAAACAGTATTTACTCTTCAACAATACATAAAACTGGAAATCAAATAACAGCAACAAAAAAAAGTAGAAAATATCCCTCCATCAAATACTTGGCAATTAAACTATGCACTTCTCAATAAAACACAGTTCAAAGAAATCAAAGCTATGAAGAAAGAAGGAAAGAGAACCTGTAAACTTCAACATCAAAGTGTGTGTGTGACGCAAAGCAGCACTCAGAGGGATGCACAGCAGGATGGAAGCTCCTAAAATCAATAACCTGGGCCGGGCGGTGGTGGCACACGCCTTTAATCCCAGCACTCAGGAGTCAGAGGCAGGCGGATCTCTGTGAGTTCGAGGCCAGCCTGGGCTAAGGAGTGATTTCCAGGAAAGGCGCAAAGCTACACAGAGAAACCCTGTCTCGAAAAACCAAAAAAATCAATAACCTGATTCCATTCAAAGGAAGACCAGGGCCAGTGAGAAGGCTCTACCAGGAAAGGCACCTGCTGCCATGTTTGAAGACCTGAGTTCAATCCCCAGGCCCCACAGAGTGAAACAAGAGAATAAATTCCTACAAGTTGTCACGACTTCCGTATGCGCGCGCGCACACACACACACACACCCCCTAAAAATTACAACAAAAAAAATCAGTGAATTAAAAACAGAAAATCCGGGGCAGGAGAGATGGCTCCGTGGTTGACCACACTTGCTGTTTTTCTAGAGGATCTGAGTTCAGTTCCCAGCACCCATATCAGATGACTTGCCATCACCTGTAACTCCAGCTCCAGGGCATCAGAGGCCCTCTTGTGGTCTCTACAGTGACCCACACTCACATGCATACACACACACACACACACACACACACACACACACACACACACACAGATGTACACATAATCAAAAGTAAAACAAACAAACAAACAAAAAACCAGTAAATCAACAGAAGGAAAAGACAATGAAATAAAAAAGTTTCTTAGGCTGGGCGGTGGTGGCAGCGCACGCCTTTAATCCCAGCACTCGGGAGGCAGAGCCAGGCGGATCTCTGTGAGTTCGAGGCCAGCCTGGTCTCCAAAGCGAGTTCCAGGAAAGGCGCAAAGCTACACAGAGAAATCCTGTCTCGAAAAACCAAAAAAAAAAAAAAAGTTTCTTAAAGATATCAATAAAATCAGTAAGCCACTTCTGGAGGGAGGTGACGCAGAGCAGTACAACAGACAGAGTGTCAGTTTTACAAGGTAAGGAAGCTCTAGCGACACTGCAAATACAGTTCAGCACTCCTCAACTGTAAATGTAAGAATGGTAAAGGTGGTAACTAAACAAGAAACACACGCCTACAGCCAGGCTAAGGAAACAAAACCACTACTGAGATCAAAGAGGAAGAAGCAACTCCATGTGCATTGAAAGGGTAAGAAAAGAAAACTGCAAACAGTTTTGTGTCCAAAACCTGGAAAAAGGTGACAGAATTGACCAGTTTCTTGAAACAAACTGCCAAGACTCATAGAAGAAATAGATGATCTGATTAGACCCACATCTATAAAAGAGAATTTGTCAAAGATTTTCTAAGTCTTCCAAAATAGAAAGCACCAGATCCTGATGAATTTTAGCAAAGCATGTAAGGGGGATATGAATCAACTCTCTCCTCTTTTCCAACAAACAAGAACAGAGACTAGTTCCTAACTCATTCTAAGCTTTGCAATACCAAACATCAAAACTAAACAATGACATCCAGGCAAAGAAAATTACAGAACACTCTTTCTCATAAGTTGGAAAAATAAAGTATTATCAAATCAAATCTGATAATGTATAAAACGAATTAGACAAGGATTCATTAAAGGCATGCACAACTGGCCCAACACTCAAACACCAATTCATGTAATCCATTGTAAAGGGGCCTGTGCAATTGAGCAGGGACAAGTTGATGCACATATGCATAGCTGTGAATGGTTATCCAGTTGTTTACACCATGTTTCAACCCCTGGGATCCAGCAAAAAGCAGACAAAACTACTGCCATCTAGAATCCATCACAAGTCTCCATTTCAGGGCCCAACCTCGAGGCCGTAGAAGTGGCAGGCTGGTGATGAAGAAGCACTATCTATGCTAAAAACAGCAAGGAGCTATGGCTAATGTAAATATTCAGGCAGGGCATGATGATCCTCAAGCGAAGAAAGAGTACAGCATTAGTAACACAGGGGAAAGACCCTCAGGATCCAGCACCAATGGGGAAGAGCTAAGACTAAGAATACGGACGGCTCTGGTTTGACTCATCACTGCGTAAAATAAAGCAGACAGCTGGGCGTGGTGGAAAGCTGAAGCAAGAGGACTGTCAATGAATTTGAGGCTAGCCTGGGCTATACAGCAAGACTTTTCATCAAAACAAACAAAATATAAATAAATATAAAGGTGGAAGAAGACAAGAAAGACAGATGCCTAAAAATGATTATCTAAGGAGGCAGAGGCAGGAAGATGTCAGAAAATTTAAGGATGGCCTGGTCCACACAGCAAATTCCAGGCCATCCTAGGCTATATAGTGACAGTTTGCCACAAACAAGCAAACAAACAAATATCAACCAAAAAACAAAAAGCCAAAGAGAACACCTTCAGTGCCAAGCCCTGTCTAGGACAGGGAAGAGTAAAGGGTTGATACGGTCAGTTTCCAAAGACAGAATTCAACCAAGTGTGTACAAAGGCACAATGGGGCATCTGGAAAAATGAAAGCGAGCGGCAGTGCATTGTTCTTAGTGCACATGAAGCCCTGGGGTCAATTGTAACAGCACACAAGAAAAGGGCAGGAACAGGATGCACAAACACCCCAGAGTGCGACCTTTCTCTAAACACGTTTAAGGTTCAGACTCTATGCTCTTTAAGAACACAGATGCTAGGCCTGGTGGTGGTGCACCCTTCTAATCCTAACACAGAGTCAGGAAGATCTCTGTGAGTTCAAGGCCAGCCTGATCTACACAGAGAAACCCAGTCTTGAAAAACCAAAATAAACAACAAAACCCAAATGCTAATAAACTCAACGTCTTTCAAAAGCAAGTACTTAAAATCCAGTACACATAACCGTGACCAAAAAAAAAAAAAAAAATTGTTGGAGAAGATAGATTTCTAAAATAATGACACATAAAATTCTGCCTTTCAAATCTGATAGCTGTCCACAGCTTAGATGGTCTACTAAAAAAACGATTAGTCTTTAAACTTTGTGATTTCTTTGGTGACTCCAGTATCAACCCTTCTAGTTTAGTTCAATGTCTTAGACAGTTAGTACTTACAGGGACGTTAAGTGCATACTGAAGCCCTTGAGGAAGGCGCTCATGTGTTTCCATCTGCTCCTCATCATTTTTCACTGTCTCCTCATGGACCATGAGTTCATCGTGCGATATCATGTCCTGTTGCCTCATTTCACTCTCTTGTAGCACTTCATCTGCAGCCAGGATCTCCTGGTGAGGCAAACTTCGATCTTGAAGTACTGACTCCTGCAGTTCTCCAGACACGGTGGACTGGCCAGACACTCCACCCATTCCAACCGTTGCCCTGGAAGACTGCATTTCGTCTATGCCGCCACATTTAAGAAACAATCCTTCCAGTCTGTCGTCAATGTTCATGCTTAAGTATAACTGCCTAGAAAGACCAAGTTTGGCAACAAAGTATGACAAATTAGTTTATATGTCTCACTTGGTAGATTTTTAATTCAAATTATAAAAGGTATACACTCAAATAGAAAATTTTTACTCATCTAATTCATATAGTTACCAAGATTGACTTCCAGAGGCTAGAAAAGTAAAATGAGTTTTCACTTTGAAATTAAAGCATAATCCTAATGTATTTCATTACTGAAAATGAACCTTACACAAAATAGACTAGAGGAAGCATTTATAGCTTCAGTTCAAGAACCTTCAGATTTCAACATCTTAATTATGGTGTCATGAAATGTAAAATGTCTTGCCTTCCCCGGTACCGGATGTCATCAGGCTGGAGGACATGTGATAACAAAGAGCAACATTTGATTTTACTTTTCAAAATCTTCACAGAGCAAACAACCTCTTAGAGGCCAATCCTTTCCAGCTTGTGTCTTCACACTCTGCTGTACACATTTCTTAGAGAAGAAGCTACCAGACAACTAAGTAGCTGTGTAAAGGGCCAAAAGTGGACCATTCTGGCCAATCTTTGGAAATCCTTGCAAATGTGTTTTATTTCTAAATTACCTACTATTCTCTTAATGTGGAAAGTTCCCCCTCACAGGAACTCACATACAAACGAGAGACCTTTACTACATTTACTGCTGTCACATACACCACTGTTCAAAACATACAACTTGGGAGTTTTAGAAAATATGGAAGATATAAAAAGAAATTTAAAAAGACCAACTTAAAGTAAGTGGTTTAGGGGAAGTCAGTTTTCGTTTTTGAGTTTTATCAACAGAAAAGCATCCAGCTGATATTGCTACTCTAGTCCAATGTTTCTCTGTAGAAGAGGATCTTAGCTGCCAGTTTTGATCAGCAATTGAGAATTATGTTCCTGTACTTGTATTAGTTCGGGGGGGGGGGGGGCGCAAACAAACAAACTAATGAAACAGAACATCAAGCTGAAACACAAGAATTAAGGACGCACTTCAGAGACGAAGGGTATTTGGGGTGGAGGAAGTAGAGTAATTCAGTAAGAGTCTCAGAACAGGAAAACAGCAAGTTTCAAAGAAGCGGGTAAACTACAAATCAGGACAAACAGTCCAAGGAGAAAACAGACCTGGCCTCTTCAAAAGTCTTCCTGAAAACAATTAGATGCCACGATGAAAAGACTCTCACCCACTCTTACTCCTACAATCCAAAATTAAGTCAAATATTTAGACTTAAATTGGATAACTACAAATTGTGTTGGACACAGTTTTCCTGCAGTATCAGACAATACTTTGGTATCAATGATCACGGATCAAACTTTAAAGTAAGCTTTGGAAACATATATCAAAAGAAAAACTGCGTGTAGCCCCCCCCAATCCTAACCCAAGACAGGGTTTCTCTATGTAGCCCTTGCTGTCCTAGAACTCACTCTGTAGACCAGGCTGGTCTCGAACTCACAGAGATCCACTTGCCTCTGTCTCTGAGTGCTGGGATTAAAGGCATGCGCCACCACTGCCCGGGAAACTGACCTAATATTTGGTCTGACTATGAATTGCTCCCCCTACCCTAAGAGGCTTATTTATTAAAAAGGTTGATATCTCAGCCGGGCGGTGGTGGCGCACGCCTTTAATCCCAGCATTCGGGAGGCAGAGCCAGGCGGATCTCTGTGAGTTCGAGGCCAGCCTGGGCTACCAAGTGAGTCCCAGGAAAGGCGCAAAGCTGCACAGAGAAACCCTGTCTCGAAAAACCAAAAAAAAAAAAAAAAAAAAAAAAAAAAAAGGTTGATACCTCAATGGGGGTGGTGCTTGGAGAGATTCTTTAAGTTTAAAGCAACGAGACCTAGCTGGAGGAAGTAAGGACATCATCCCTTGGTAGTAACATTATTTCCTATTCTCTGTCACTGATAAATATGGAACTTCAAATGTACATTATGAATCAAAACAGAATATGGTGGGCAAGCTTAGGAACCTAAATATCATTTTATTTTCTATGAAAAGAATAATTTTCAACTTAAGAATATTATTCTCCAACGGTCAACAATATGTCACCCTTACACCAGAACCCACTAGGTCTAAAAAGAAATTTCTCTTTAGGCAGACACTCAAAGGTACTTATTCTGAAAATCAATTATTTCTCTGGCCAACCACCAAGGTGCTAGGGATAGAACCCAGAGGTGTGTGCATGCGAGGTAAGCATTTATCCGCAGACCTCACAAATGACTTCTGAACCAAAACATATTGACCAAATCCTTGTTTATTTGGAAGAATTCAGTGACATTAACCTGGTTATTCATAGTTCTACTCTGTTTACAAACCAGAGAGAAATCTCATTATAAACATAACTTGAGAAATACAAGTATCAAGCAGCTGGCTGGTTGTGGGGCTGCAGGACTACACTGGAGCACATGGGATGCAGAGGCAAGAGGGCCACCACAAGTTTACTGCCAGCCTGGTGAACAGAGCAAGACCCTGTCTCCCAAAACAACAAAATGCATATGTATGTGGATGTGCGTGTGCGTGTGCGTGTACGTAGCATATAAGCCTCATGGTATCACATTTGGTGAAATGAAGAAACCCCTATCAATACCAGAATGAACCTTGGCTAATTTCCACTTCATTCCTAACAAATTTGCTATACTCTCACACCCTTCAAAAATACAGTTTTGATCTACCCAAAATTGCTTATTTTTCATTGAAAAAGCAAAATATTTCTTGTCTAATCATAGTCTATATTCAGATACATTTCAAATAAGACTTTTTGTTTTTTATTTTGGTTTTTTGAAACAGTCTTTACTCTGCAACCCAGTTTGGTCCTGAACTCAGCAATCCTCCTGCCTCAGCCTTCCAAGTACTGGAATTACAGGCATGACACTGTGCCCAGCTCTCAGATACATCTTTGTATAAATACCATTTTGCATGTTATAAAGTCTTTCTTGAAAACTACATTTTTAAGTGTTAATATTTCAAAACAGCCTATAAGAGCCATGCTCATAATGGCAACAAGACAAAATGGTCTTTCTGATCAGTGCCAGCAGCAGCAAAAGGTACTAAAGAAATAAACATAATTTTAACAGCTATTAATAAAATTATTAATTAGATTTTTCACGGTAAGGGTCTCTATTTTGTACATAAAAACTTAGATAAAAACTGACTTTTCTTCTTTTTTCTTTTTTTTCTGTTTTTCGAGACAGGGTTTCTCTGTGGAGCTTTGTGCCTTTCCTGGATCTTGCTCTGTAGACCAGGCTGGCCTCGAAATCACAGAGATCCGCCTGGCTCTGCCTCCTGAGTGTTTGGATTAAAGGCATGAACCACCACTACCCAACAAAAACTGACTACTTTTAACCACAGAAAAATAATCTATAAATATTTAAGGAAAAGTTAGTAGATATTCCCACATAATAGGAAAACCTAGGATCTAAGCACATAATATATTCTAAATATTTATCAAAATGTCTTCTAAAACAACACAACCAGAAAACAGTGGTACAGAGAAATTAAAACATTACATTTTTGCCAACTCAAACTGCTTAAGAAAGAGGTATAATTTATCTGTATCAAGGAGGTGGGGGGGGGGTGGCACATCAGGCAAGCACCCTGAGCCCTAGTTATATACAGCACCCATTACATTTGCCAGCACAAACTCAAACTACTGGATTCCATTAGAAAACTGAACTCCATCATTCTATGTAACACAGATATGAGAAATACTTCTTTAAACTTCCCTAGGTACAATGAAGATATGTTTAATACCTGATGCTTTGTTTAATGTACTAGATTACTGACCAGGGTTTATCTAAGAACAGAAAAGGCATTAACTAGTTAAAATCAATATAATTTTATTACTGCTTTTAATAAAATTAAATCTGACACAAACTCTATTGTGACAGACAGCTGGCTGTCCAAACCCACACCCAAAATCTATTGTCTTCTACCTAATAATAAGAATAAGCTACATGATGGGGCTAGAGAGATGATCATTAGTTAAGAACATAGGTGGTGGTGGCGCACGCCTTTAATCCTAGCACTGGGGAGGCAGGGCAGGTGGATATCTGTGAGTTTGAGACCAGTCTGGTCTACAGAGTGAGTTTCAGGACAACCAGGGAGAAACCTTGTCTCAAAACCAAAACACAGCTCCCCTTATGGAGGACCTGGGTTTGATTCTCAGCACCCACACAGTGGCTCACAACCATCTGTAACTCTAGTTCCAGGGAATCTGACTCCATCTTCTGAGCTCTATAGGCAGTAGGCATGCACATGATGCACATATATACACAAAGGCAAAACACTCATAACAATAAATAACAACAAAAGAGAACTTTAAATTTTATGGCCCACAGCTGCCAAGACAAAACTTATTGCCCAGCCTCCCTTGCAGGCGGTGGTCAAATAACAAAGGTATAGCCAGGGGGATATAAGTGGAAGAGATACATACAATTCCTTTAAAAACAAAGCAAAAGGCAGCTGGAGATGGTTTAGCAGTTAAAAGCACTGACTGATCTTTCAGAGAACCTGGTTTCAATTCCTAGCATCCATACATCAGCTCCCAACCATCTGTAACTCCAGTTCTAGGAGATCTGACACCCTCTGCAGGCACCAGGCAAGCACATGGATTACAGCTACACATGCAGGTAAAACATCCATACACATAAAATAAAATAATAAATTGCAAAGTGCTCCTCAGTTTTCTTTTCTCCACTGGCAGGCATTATAGTAACCACACTCAATGGGTGGAATCTAAACATTATTAACAGGGACTGGAGAGATGCTCCAGGGGGTAAGAGCACTTACTGCTATTAAAAAACCTGGGTTGGATTCCCAGCAGCCACATGGAGGCCAACAACCATTTGTAGCTCGTTTCAAGGGAACCACTGCCCTCTTCTGGCTTCTATGGGCACTTCATGCATGGTGCATCTACCCACAAGCTGGCAAAATGCTCATACACAGTTAAAAAAATAATTGTTTTTTTTTTATTCAGAATAGCAAAGGCTGAGGATATAACTCAGTGACAGAGTATAATGCACTTAGAATGAACAATGCTCTAGGCTCAATCATCCTCAACAACCTTACCCAACCCCACTCCCCAAAGAAAGCACAGCAATGCCAAGCAAAAGTACCCTGGAGCATCACAACTGTGGACCCTCCATACAACCATGAGATAGTTTACAATAAGCTTTCAGGTAGATGAAACTATATTTCTACGATTATAAACCTATCACAGTAGCCAATTCTCTTTCTCTCTCTCTCTCAAGATTTATTTATTTTTGTAAATGAGTGCTTTACTTGCATGCATGCCTGCATGACAGAAGAAGGCATCAGATCCTATTATAGATAGCTGTGAGCCTCCATGTGGGTGCTGAGAATGAACTCAGTCCTCTGGAAGAGCAGCCAGTGCTCTTAACCGCTGAGCCATCTCTCCAGTCCCCAGTAGCCAATTCTATATGCTAATACATGCTACACCAGACTGCTTGCTTATTTTACTACAGGAAAACACAAAATGTGTACACATTCAAAGCACTATGTTATCTAAGTTTCTTTTCTTTTTGTTGTGATAAAATACTCTGACAAAAGCAACTCGAGAGAAAAAGGGCTCATTCTGGCTCACAGTTCACAGTGGGGACGTAGAGGCAGCAGGCGACTGACTACGATGGACTACGCTAATCCCCTTCATCCACTGTCACACAGTGACAACAAAGGAAGCACACTAGCTAGCGCTCAGCTCACTTGCTGAGTTTCACACAGTATGGGTTGATTCCCGTTCATGGCATGGTCCCATCTACAATTTCGATGACTCTCCCCACATCAATTAATCTCCACAGACATTCTCAGAGGTTAACCTTAATCTAGATAAGCCCTTACTGGTAAGCCTAGAGGCTTAGCTTCTAGGTAATTCTAGATTCTAACAAGTTGACAACCATCACTTACATTTCTATCAATATTTCAAAAAATATATGGTAGATGCACTTATATTAATAGTCTAAGTTTCTTCATGTATAAAGTTTCTCTAGACATTCTGGGAAATGTAGTGTTAGGAGAGTGGGGTAAAAGTGTAATCTTTGTTGAGGAAGATTAACCAAGAGAACAACTACTACTTAAATTTCACTTAATAAACTATTACACAATATATTCATCAGTTTTATTTTTAAAAACCTCTTAGAAATCCAGGCATAGTGTGCGTTCCTTTAATCCAAGCACTCGGGAGGCAGAGGCAGGCGGATTTCTGTGAGTTCCAGGACAGCCAGAGCTACATAGTGAGACCCTGTCTCAAAAAACAAACAAACAAAAAAAAAATAAAATAAAAACTCTCTTAAGAAAAATATTGCCGGGCGGTGGTGGCGCACGCCTTTAATCCCAGCACTCGGGAGGCAGAGCCAGGCGGATCTCTGTGAGTTCGAGGCCAGCCTGGGCTACCAAGTGAGTTCCAGGAAAAGGCGCAAAGCTACACAGAGAAACCCTGTCTCGAAAAACCAAAAAAAAAGAAAAATATTAAAGTCTCCTCCAGATATAAAAATCCAAACTGAAACTATTATACAAACCCAACATGAAATCTATCATCCAACAGAAAAGTTTATATATATTTAAAAAAATTAACTTATTTAACACAATGGGTTTAAGGAACCACTCAGAACACTTGACCAGTTCAAAATTCTGTACATCAGTGAACTATACAGTTAGAATGGCTACCTCAAACTGTGTGCTGTTCTTATTCATAACTTAATTAAAATACAGTTTAAAAAATAAATAGCTAGAATGTCCTTTTTCAAGATTATGAGAAATAAGTTACCTGAGACCGAAGTAAAAATGAAGACTTCAAGGAAAGGAATGCTGTTGAGTTGAGAAAGAAATCATGGTTGAGTTTCTACCTTTCCCAGGCTCCAGAAACTCTCCAGATCCTCTCAGTCACTTGTGCCATCCAATTCCTAAAATAAAACACATACACAACAAGCAAGCTCTATTACATTCCGAGGGACCAATGCTGTGACCCAGTATGTGCAGACTCCATGAACACTGCAGAGACGATCTGGGAATCTAACGAGCCATGTCTGAATGAGAACACACTGACTTGTATTGTAGGGATGAAACTGAGAAAATACAATAGTGGCAGATAGGAAATGAGAAACAACCCCGGCTTTTTAAGAAATAATTTACCTTGGGACCAGAAAGAGGGGTCAGCAGGTAAAGATGCTTGATATCAAGCCTGACTGTCCTGAGTTTCATTCCTGGAACCCACATGGAAGAAGGGAACTGATTCCAGCAAGTTGTCCTCTGACCTCTACAAGTTCTCCCTCCCTTACATGTTATGTGCATGAACAGAGGATGGACGGATGGATGGATGGACAGATGGACGGACGGATAAGATTTTAGGCAGATATAATTTGTCTAGATCAGGAATCTACAACTCTGAGATATGAAATCGTGCATCAAAATTCTACTAAAAGATAAGAAAATAGAAAACAAAGAATAAGCACCCACACAAAGACATTAGTCATATCTACTTTATTAGGTCTGTGGACTGATGCGGTGGTGTACACCTTTAGCCCCAGTACTAGAAAGGCAGAGGTATGTACATCTCTTTGATTTCTAGGCCAGCTTGGTCTCAAAAAAAAAAAAAAAGAAGTCTGAAGTGAAAGAGAAGTACACAAATGTAGGTCTCAAAAATATCAAGCACAAGTAGTGTGTGTATTCACAATAGAAAGAGTACCATCTTAAAATCATATAAGCATCTAGATATACAAATTTGATCTTCAGGGTAATCTTAGATGAAAAAAAACTGATGAAAATAATCATTCAAAAAATGTGCAATATAACCAACACCAAAGAGCACAGGCTATTCACAAGGAATCTTTCTGACAGCAGTACTTCTGAGCAAAGTATCAAACTAATGACTATGAAATTTCCTAACTCAGAGAGTCCATGGACAGTGTGCATTGGATTTACAAAACAGCTTATGACTGTACATGTTTACCACAGCACAAAGAATGGTCTTGCCCACTTAAAGCAAGAACAATAGTAATTCCCAGCATTCAGGAAACAGAGGCAGGTGATCTCTCTGAGTTTGAGGATTTTTTATATATATATATATACACACACACCACCACACACACACACACACACACACACACACACACACACACACACACACACACACACACACACACACACACACACGAGTTCCAGCCCAGCCAGGGCTATGGTGAGGCTTGTTATAACAAATAAAAGAGAAACTTCTGAAATTTCTATAAGCTCTGAAAATTAAAAGACAGACCTCTTCATACTTAGTATTCCATTCCTAAATTTTCCTGGATATTTATGCTTATTTTTCCTAAAGCAAAAAAATGTACAAAATAAAACCCTCTCTCTTCAGTGGAACTGTCGCCACATATAACAACACTAAAAGGAACAACAATCTAGACTTGCAATCTTATGTATGTGTGCATAACATACATCATGCAAAATACTCACTTTCAACAGTCATAAGATACTTAAAAATAACAGCCAATCTAACTATACCACTGGGTCCAGAGTAGAGTACTTGCAGAGTTTCTACTGAGGTCTAGATTCACCCCAGTATGAACCAGAAAACAGTAACACAAGCCAGGGGTGGCAGCTCATACCCTTTACCCCAGCACTTGGGAGGCAGAGGCAGGCAGATCTCTGGGAGTTCAAAGCCAGCCTGGTCTATATATCCAGTGCCAGGACAACCAGAGCTACATAGAAAGACTGTCTCAAAAAAGCAGTAAGGAAGGCAGGCAGGCAGGCAGGGACATACATACTCATCAAAAGCAACAGGTAATATAAAGTGTTTCTAAGTGCCCTTATGGGTTAGTTTAAAAAAAAGATTTCAAAACATTAAGTCAAATGAACTTAATTCATGTTTCAACTTTAACTATGAAAACAATCAGCTACCAAGTAAAATTCTCAATAAAGCAAAGAAATTATTTCAAAGATCCTAATGGAAATCTGGGGGTTGAAGAATATGGTTATTGAAATACAAAAACGTATGCCAAGTATTCAAAAACAAATTCACAACTGCAAAAAATAAATAAATAAAAATAAAACCAGTAGCCTTAAATGTACATCTACAGAAATTACCCAATTAGGGTTGACCAGATTGCTCAGTGGGTAGGGGTGCTTGCTGCCAAGCCTGATGAGCTGAGTGGAAGGAGAGAGCCAACTCCTACAAATTGCCATGCCTTCCATACATGCAACCCCCTGCACAAACAAGAATAAACAAATAAATAAATGTAGCACGTTAATCTTTATTAAAAAAAAAAAAAGAACAGAAGGAAGAAAGGGAGGGAGGGAGGGAAAGAGGGAGGGAGGGAGGGAAAGAAAATTACTCAATTAAATACAGAGAAGAAAAAAATGAAGAAAAGAGCCCCAGAGGTATGTGAACCAACATCCTGCTTACCAGTATGTCTTAAGGATGAAAGAGAAAAAGAAGTAAAATTTAATAAAACGGAAATAAGCTTACAAATCCAAGCTCAATGAATGTCTATTGCAATAGATACAAAAAGGCCTATTCCTGGGTCCATCAAAATAAAACCATTGAAAGTAAACACAAGGAGAAAAGGATCTCAAATGGAGGAAAAAGGCAGTGTGTGCAGGAACCCACTGTGGTGGTCTGAATGAGAATGGCCCATAGGCTCACATTTGAATACTTGGTCCCCAGTTGGCAGAACTGTTTGGGAAGATTAGGAGGTGTGGCCTTGTTGGGAGAGACATGCTGCTGGGGGCAGGCTTTGAGGTTTCAGAGTAAGCCATTCCCAGTGTATTCTCTGCCTCCTGCTTGCTGTTGGAGATGTGAGCTGTCAGCTCTTCCTGCCTCCATGTGTTTGCTCCACCATCATGGATTCTAACCCTCTAAAACCATAAGCCCAATTAAATGTCTTCTTTTTTAAGTGGCTTTGGTCATGGTGTTTTATCACAGCAACAGTAACTAATACAACTATCAAGAAGATCAATGATTAACTTCCAACCATAACAACAGAAGTTAGAAGATGGTGGAATCACAGACTCACAGCAGGGAGCTGGACAGAAAGAGAGGATATTGCTTCTGAACATACTCTCCAGTAGAAACCACACTGTTAACAATTTCCAGCAGACTATCCGCCAAAGCGTAAGACATTCTCCAATACAGACACTATACTAACCAGTAAGACAGCCTCAGTAAAATTGAAAGGACTCAACTCCTACAAAGTATGTTCTCCAACCATATGAATTTTAATTAGATAAATAAAGGTACTATTACTTTTTGTAACTTCAATTGTTTAAAATCTGAATTTATGAGTTAGACATGGAAGCACACACCTTCAATCCCAGTACTCGGGAGGAAGAGGCAGGCAGAATTCTATGAGTCGAAGACAGCCTGGTCTACACAGCGAGTTCAGCCAGGGCTACATGGTGAGACCCTGTCTCAAAGAAATAAACAAAAATAAAATCTGAATTTATGGATATCTTCATATAAGCAACCAATGCAAAGATCCAGCACTCCATTTTTCCAGGATAAGCCAACTATCCGACTTGTTACCAAGCAACTCGTTTCCTTTGTTTGTTTGTGAAGAAGAGAGCTTTTCTTCCCATGTTGTTCAAACAAAGCTGCTTGAGATGGGTGCTTCGGAGGGATTAGTCAGAGAGACAAAATTCCATCTCCTCACCACTCTTCCAATTCTTCCTTGACATTGCCTTGGCGGGGGCCGCGGGAGCAGTCGTGGCCACAACCACAAACGCAGACGGATCAGCCAAGGAAGCCTTGTAGGTTATTATTTTCTTTTCTACATTTTTTAAACATTAAACTTATTTGTTAAGTTTTCTCCTTTTTCTTAGACATGGTCTCAAGTAGCTTACCCTGACCTCAAATTTACCATGTATCCAAAGCTAGTCTTGAACAAGCCCTGCTCCTGCCTCCACATCCCAAGTCCTGGAATACAGGTGTACATCATTATGGGTAGCCCATGTACTACATTTTCTATGTATCTACTTTTATGATCTACGGTAGACTTTTTAAGTACCACAATTTACTAAATCTAAAACTACGAGTATTATACACAACTATTTTACACCACCAAAAGAGAAAAAGCATGTCAAACTAGGGCAAGTTGGGAATTTGAGTCATTCTCAGAAATTATAATGTAGAGGGGAAAGTACAGTCATATACTCAAGGATGACAATCTCTTCAAGTTTATGCAGAATTCTCTACTCTACATTTACCAGAGCCAAGAAGGATAAGAAATATCTAACAATGTAGAAAAAAATAAGCTTCTATAGGACTGAAATCTAACCAAAATCACAAGAAAAGCAAATACTAAGTAAAAATAATTTTCCTAACATAATGACAAGGACCCTACCCCTAATACACAAATATACAAAAAAAGAAAGTATAAAAGGACCCGCAACACCACCCCCCCCAAAAAAAACCCGACAAATAAATCATTTGCTAGTGTTGTCAAAGAGATAAACCAGTGCTCACACTGATAACCAGTAGTACTGGGCATACACTATAGAGGTACACACTCATCCAAGCTGTCAATCATCCACCACTCTTTGACCCAACAATTTTCCCTTTTAAAATTAAAGCAGTAGAGGTTGGAGAGATGACTGAGCAGTTAAAAGTGCTTATTCCAAAACCATGATGACTACAGTTTAGCACCTACACAAGCCAGGCATCCCTCAAATGCCTGCAACTCCAGCCCCAAGGGTCCTAGAGACAGCAGTCTACCCACACAAACAAAGCCTAGGTTCAAGGACAGACCTAACCTCAAAGGAAGTGAGGAGTGGGGCTGGAGAGATGGCTCAGTGGTTAAGAGCACTGGCTGCTCTTCAGGAGGACCGAGGTTCAATTCCCAGCACCCACATGGCAGCTCATGACTGTCTGTAACTCCAGTACCAAGGGATCCAACACCCATGGCAAAAAACAGCAATGCACATAAAAATAATTAACTAATTTAAAAAAAAAAGAAAGAGAACAAAGGAAGTGAGGAGTGATAAACAGGAATACTGATTGTCATCTTCTGGCCTCTGGGCTTGTATACAGGAGAAGCGTAAGCACCTGAGGGCTAGTGTGCTCACACAGACAGACCTTTGGGCTAGTGTGCTCACACAGACAGACCTTTGGGCTAGTGTGCTCACATAGACAGACCTGCAGGCTAGAATATTCATACAGACAGACACATGCACAAATGGGAAAAAAATGCTTATAAAAGGAATTTAAACTGTAGGTACATTAAAAATATGTACAAAGATATGTCCAAGAATTTGCACTACACAAAAAACTCTGAAAACCTAAATAACTATGCCGGGCGGTGGTGGCGAACGCCTTTAATCCCAGGACTCGGGAGGCAGAGCCAAGCGGATCTCTGTTGAGTTCGAGGCCAGCCTGGTCTACAGAGTAAGATCCAGGATAGCCAGGACTGTTTCACAGAGAAACCCTGTTTCGAAAACAAATAAATAAGTAAATAAACAAACAAATGAATAAATAAATAAATAATTTTGGGGGAGTAAATAGGTACTTGTGTATCCAGAGAGGTGTCTGGGAGAATATACAATATTAATAAAGAATAGAAAGGAGATCATTTTTCTGTTTGTTTGTTTTTAACACTGTGGCAATCTCTACTGCTTACAAGGAAACCTAGGTAAGGGGGCTATAAGAAGCAGGTACTACATTTGCCAGAAGACATGGATAAAGAAGAAAACCCTAAAATATGGTCATCAAAACTGGTAAGATTTTCAATCCTCAAGTTCTAAAAGAATTCTCAAAACAAATTTAAAAATTCATAATACAACTTTAAAATTCTTATGACCATTAATAACTGACATGTAACAAGCCATGTGTGGTGCACACCTTTAATCCCAGCAGAGACAGGCGGATCTGAGTTCGAGGCTAGCCTGGTCTACAAAGCAAGTTCCAAGACAATCAGGGCCATATAGAGAAACAGTGTCTTTAAAAAAATAATAACAATAATAATAAGTGCTACTGGCAGATATACAAATACCGTGTTAAATATTTCCCTTTCTTTTATGTTGTCCGATAAAGACACAGGTTTAATACAAACACCAAGATAGGCTACAAAGAAGGAAAAGGATCAACTGTCCTCCTAACATAAAGGAATTGGGGGCTAAAAAAGCAATCTGGTTAAATGAAAAGCCAATGGGCTTAACCTTCCAAGTCAGTACACTAACTCTCTTCTGTGTACAGTTGCGCAGAAGATACAGCACTGGCCTGCTGTTCTTTAAAGCTTCTGTTATGCCTAAGCAGTAGAACGGGGCTATCCAGGGATCGAAGAGTAGCTGTGCAAGGCTGAGGACAACTTCTTCTGTAAAAACGAGAGCCGAGACAAAACACTGCTGGATTACCTCTATAAAATGTGTCAGGCAAATGCCCATCCCGCCAGGTCACTTGGCTCAATTTCCAAGCCACTGATTCTTCTCTTCTATTCTGTAAAGTATAAAAATACAAGTCAGTCACCCAAAAGAATCAAATTAAACACATTCTTACAGCTAGGCAAAAGAGTTCTAACTAAATATGAAAAATCTAACAAAATTCTTTTCATAAGTAGATGCTATTGGATTAAACATAATTCAAAACTAGTGCTTCAACTACAAAGGCCCATCAGTACTAACTGATTATCAAAGATGATAAGTTACACTTTTTCAAACTTCTAGTTAAGGATTAAGATGTCTTGGAAGTTAGGACACTAATTTTGAATCATTTTAAAGTAGAGAAAGAAAAAAACCCACAAATGTGTTGCTGATACAAAGAGACTAGAGCAGGAGGGTCACAGCAACCTGGGAAAACGTCTCAAAAAGAAATAAAAACATAAAAACAAACACCGGGTGGTGGTGCACACCTTTAATCCCAGCACTCGGGAGGCAGAGCCAGGCGGATCTCTGTGAGTTCGAGGCTAGCCTGGGCTACAGAGTGAGTTCCAGGAAAGGTGCAAAGCTACAGAGAGAAACCCTGTCTCGAAAAAAAACCAAAAACCAAAAACAAACAAACAAAAAATGTTTATATATTTATTTATATATATATATATATAAACAAAACACGCTGATGTTCCCCATGCACTGATTACTCACATAGTACTATTTCTTGATAAAAACCCCACAGCAACACTGCCTCTTGCTGAAATGGCTAAATGTAGTAACAATGTAGTTTTGGGGCTGGAAAGATGCTCAGTGGTGAAGAACAATTGTTGCTCTTGCAGAGGACCCAAGTTCAACTCTCAGCATTCATACTGGGAAGCCTGTAACTCCAGCTCCAAGAGATTCAATAACCTATTCTGGACTCCACAGGCACCTGAACTCCTATCACACGCACACACGCAAGCGCACACACACAAAATGGTGGCTCACACCCATATTCCTATCATTCAAGAAGCTGAGCCAGAAAGATGCCATCAAGGCCAACGGGGGCTGCATAGTAAAGTGTAAGCCACCCAGAGCTACACAGCAAGATCCTGTCTCTGGGGGTGGGGGGCTGGGGGGGGTGATGACGACACAGGGCAGGTAGTTGTGAATGTACCTGTCTAACATCCATAAAGCCCTGGGTTCATTATCCAGAACTGTGTAAACACGGCATGGTTGTACATGTCTATAACCCTAGAACTTGAGGAGGAGGCAAGAGATCAGAAATCCAAGGTCATCCTTGAGTGCATAACAAGTTCAAGGCCATCCTAGCCTATATGAGACTTTGGTTACTCATATCCTCTTCCCCTTGTTCTCCAAAAAGAAAATAAAAAACAGAAGAATGTAGCTTGAGAAAGTGTGTATGTGTGTACACACACATATATACACATATACACACACATATAAATTGTAAGGCAAATATTATTTAATAATGTTAAAATATTCCATGGATGATTTTTAATTTATATGTAATAATCAACCTTTTAGCAAAAACTAAAAAAATTAACATTCCATTTGTATTGTACTGACACAGGACACAGATCCACTTTCTTCACGTCAACTAGAGTATCTTTCCAGGTATAGGAAACAAATACCATGAAAATTAAAAGCTGAATTATCAGAAATATAGAACAGGGCAAAAGTAACTTTATATTCAGAAATAATAGATGTGGCATTTCATGTGTCAGCCTTAACACTAGGGTACCACCAGTGCATGTGGCGTATACACATGCGCACGTGAAAACCCAAAGTTGGTATTAGGGCTTTTCTCATTCTCTCTCCACTTCATTTACTGCGGCAGGGTCTCTGAACTGAACCTAGAACTAGACAATTTGAATAGTCTAGCTAGCCATTTATCCCAGGGATCTCTTGTCTCTGCCTCCTAAGTCCTGGGATTACAGGCAACCACCATGCCTGTACTCAGGTCCTCAAGCCCTTCGCCTACTGAGGCACCTTACTACTCCCTAACCCATTCTTAAGCCTTGGTACTTAGAAATAAATAAAAGCCATCAATGCAATATCTAGGAAATAAGCGAGTAATTAAAAGTTCTGTTGATATGAGTAGATCAGCTGCTGACCTAGTTATAATTATTTTCTCAATTTATTTTAAAGTAATTCGTTTCATGGGACAGTAATGTACTTGAGTGATAGAGCACTTGCCTAGTACACTCAACACCCTGAGCTCTTGTGACAAGTCTTTTCCTTGGGAGACACAACACAACACAACACACACACACACACACACACACACACACACACACACACACACACACACACGCCTACTCACCCCAGATAGAAATCCCACAATATATCAAAGTGCCCTCTCCCTAGCATAGGTGACTTTACAGGAAGTCCTTGAAACTGACAAGATTAACTAGGCCCCTCCCTAAAGACTCTCAGACAAGCCAGGCTGCAGAGAATACTGACTAGATCATCTGCCTGCAAGGAGCAGAAACCTGCAGAGCTACATGAAGGAGGTGTAGACCAACTGAGGCACCTAGAAAGGACACTCTCCCATCTGTTGAGCTACCTGCAGGCTGTGCAGTGTGCTCCAGGTTCCCAAATTTTGTGAGCTGTCAGTCATGCTTGGGATGGGCTTTGGTGATGCAGCTGTCTTTGAGCTATTTCTGCTTCTGTAAGTAACCCCAATAAACTCATCGGTTCATCAGATACCATCAGACTTTGGTGGTATCTGTACTTTGATCTGTCATGGAATCCCTATCTGGGGTGAGTAGGTGTGTGTGTGTGTGTGTGTGTGTGTGTGTGTGTGTGTGTGTGTGTGTGTGTGTGTGTGTGTGTGTGTAGCGTCTCCCCAGGAAAAGTTTTGTCACACAACAGCTCTGTCCCCAGAACAACAACAACAACACCAGTTTCTAATAAGCTCTTCATTGCCTGCCCCAAAGTCAAGCACTCAAAAGAGCCTGTATGTCAGTCCTATCACCGCACCTCTTACTACTGTTGGAACAGAGTTCTTCTACACTACCCAGACTGACCTCAAATACCTAAGCTTAAGCAATCCTCCTGCTTCCACCTCCAAACATTCAGAACTTTAGAAACATGTTACTGTGCCACACACAAAATAGGGATTTCTACAGTAACAGAACAGAAAAACAGAAGCCATGAAATTCAAAACTACTACACTGCCACTCACTAGTCTATCCTATTAGATTACATTCTCTGTTTCTACATTCATCACTATTCAGTTTTCACAACTGCTAACATAGCTGCATGACTAAATATAAAAAGAACTGCAAAATCTATATATAGAAAATAAAACTTGTTATTAAATTATAGACTTCTGGGGCTGGAGAGATGGCTCAGAGGTTAAGAGCACTTGTTGCTCTTGCATCAGACCCAGGTTCAATTCCCAGTACCCACATGATGGCTCACAACCATCTGTAACTCCAGTTCAGAGGATCTGACCCCTCTTCTGAACTCCAAGGCACCAGGCACACACCTGATGATATATATCATACAGGCAAAACCCTCATACACAAAAATGAAAATTTAAAAATACATAAAACAGTCAGGCGGTGGTGGAAGACGTCTTTAATCCCAGCATTCCGGAAGCAGAGGCAGGTGGATCTCTGTGAGTTCAAGGCCAGCCTGGTTGACAGAGCAAGTTCTAGGATAGCCAGGGTTACATAGAGAAACCACCTCAAAAAAAATCAAAAAGGAAAACAAACAAACATACATTTCCATCTGAGCTTTTTAGAAGCTGACTTGACATACCCCTCCACAATCAGGACATTAGTACTATCTAACCACAAGATGTGTTAGCAGCTATTGCCTGGAGAAATGATTATGAAATGTTCAAAGTTCTGCAGAACACATTCACAAAAAGAACCCTTACTTTCTTACATAACTTTTTACAGAACATACAAGTAAAGGTTGTCACATAACCAAGAATGTAACCAGCTTTATTAAAAAGGAGAAACAAGCGCCGGGCGGTGGTGGCGCACGCCTTTAATCCCAGCACTCGGGAGGCAGAGACAGGCGGATCTCTGTGAGTTCGAGGCCAGCCTGGGCTACCAAGTGAGTCCCAGGAAAGGCGCAAAGCTACACAGAGAAACCCTGTCTCGAAAAACCAAAAAAAAAAAAAAGGAGAAACAAAATAATGAAGCAAGAAGGAAAAAGAAACAAGCTGCACATAACACAAAATACAGTCTGAAATCATAAACGTTATTTTGTGTGACATCTTTCCCATCACACACCATTCATTATTATTAGTGTTATTATTATGAAAGGGAGAAGGGGGTGTGTGTTTGTGTCTCTGAGCTTGCTGGCAGGGGATTATAATAATGGTAACTGAGGTGGGGAGACCTGCCCACTCCCAGGGCTGGGATTCTGGACTGTATAAAATGGACAAAGAACTGAACACTAGTGTGCACATTTGCCCGTTTCCCAGCCATGGACGTCATGTGACCAGCTGCTTCAAGCTCTGCTGCCCTGACCTCCCTGTCACGGTGTACTGCCCCTTGAACTGTGACCCAGAAAGCAACCCTTTCTCTCCTAAGTTGCTCTTGTCCTAGTGTGTTGTTATAGCAACAGGAGGGAGGAGACTGGACACTGTGTCCATAGGTGCCTACAATCTTGCAGTAGTGAGTACACACAGCAGGGTCTGGGGGAATCAAGTACTAAACTGTATAATAGAAGTTTAAGCAATTGATCACAGAAAAATCAAAATGAGATCGGTTAATCTCCCTTTGCTAACTTTTTAAAACCAAAAACAAGGGGGACCTTTTAAATGGTGATCTCACATACAAGATACAGAGAACATTATTTAGAGTTTGCTGAGCAATATTCCCAGGAACTTACAGGTATTCAAGAAATAAATCTGTAACTGATACAAAAGTTGAGTATCTCTGATGTGAAATTCAAAATACTCTAAAATCCCAAACTTTTTTAAGGGCAATTTGATACAAAAAAAAAATCCATACCATAAAACTTGGTTACATGCACAAAATTGTATTTTTAAATACTATATAAGATTGCTGTCAGTTTATGTACATTAGGTATACATGAAAAATG